TTAATTTACCAGCCCTAGAAATGGTTTTTTTTTTTTTTTTTCCAACTTGCAAGTTTCTTTTTAATTCTAAAAATAAGCTCTTTAGAATTGACAGGATCTTTCCAAAAAATTATATTATGAATTCCTCAGTACTTTCCAATAGTTGTTACATTATCACTTCTCAAACTATTAGTAATATTACTAGCGAAATAGATAGATGATTTATGAAAATTAACTTTTGGCTAGAGGTAGAAGAAAACTTATTTAGGGCATTCGTGATGGTCTTTGCCACTTTACTATAAGCTCTTTTAAAAATTAAACAATCATCTGCAAAAATTAAAATAGAATTCTAAACCCTAAAGGAAATTAAACTTACAAAGGGCATTCATGATGCTCCTTCCTAATTCCTTACGGGAGTAGGTTTTTGTATCTTGTGGAACCTGCGTGATCAATCTCAGTGAATTCATCAAACTTCGCCCAACGATTTTAGAACAGGATGATGGTGGCATCGATGCTCCGTTTATCAGCTTCACAACAGAGGCTGTTGAGTCCATGATTGGACTTCTAAGGTATTCGTATTCTGATCCACTTTACTTCGGCCATGAGAAATTATGGTCCCACAAGTATCTTTAAGATGTTGGAATACTTTAAAAATGCTTAAGAATAATCTTTAGGGATATTCTTTAATAAATAATAGGGTAATTTTCACTTTTCTATCCTCAGGTACTGTAAAATTCTAATTTTCATACCTAAAGTTTTTTTCGTCCCATTTTCATACAATTATGTGACAATTTCACTACTTTTGTTAGCCTTTCTATCAAGAGCTCAGTTAACAAATGATGTGACACACCATCAGATACTGACTGTGCAGAAACGTGGGACTGTGGGCCCCACGTGTAAAGGTTTTTTTTGGCAAAAACAAATAAATAAAAATCTTAAAAAAGACATTCGATGATGGCTCTCTCTCATCCTTTTGTCTTCTCCCTTTCAAATATTTGACAGAACCCCAGATGACTACAAAATCTATAGCCAGTAACAATATTGACGACGCTTTTGATGAAAAAGATGTTGGAAATGTGTCCTAAAGCCAATTATGAGATGATGCTTTATGAACAATTCACATATTAAACCATTTCAGTTTAATCCTAAGTGCAAAGATTATTAGTTAAAGCCGTCTCATTAAATGTTATACACTTAAGGATAGGTCCAAGAAATATGTAATTAAGAGAATATGATCTAAAGAAGTTAGATTCATGAGACCTTTCTCTTTCTTTTACATATTCTAAATTGTCCTATCATAGGATTGCCAATTGGGCATTCATGATCTGAATAGATCAGTACCTACTATGTCTTATACTTTGGGAATAACTAGTCTTAAGTCATTGGTATGAATGACGCCAAGACATGTATGTACAAGAGTGAGTCTCTTGAATGCGATTAACCAAGAGTTTCATACTCGTGCCTGAGAAATCACTAGAAGGAATAATGCAAAGTAGTATTTTAACCCGAGACACCACCGTCGTTTTATCCTTAGGTCCTTAATCTTTGATTATGTTAATGGTATCCAATTAGAAAGGTGTCCACAACATCGTTGGGGTTAAGTTACCTAGTCATGGAAGCAAGTGTACAACACGGGATGTCTAACCTTCAAACCGTTGAGGGAGAATACTCTATGATATGATTAAGAATCTCTGGGCATACTAGGAATGAGATTTATGAAGTTGTTTCAAATCACGTTCAAGGTAATCATATAGACAAGAAAATTAGATTGTATAGTAGACATGAATAAATTATTAACCAAACAATGTGATAAAGCGTATTGAATTAGAGAAGGGTTGTATCGCATTATAATCCTATATTGAATAGGTTCTCCAACCTCTTTTTATTAGCTTAGGTAGCAATGACATACTAGGTGTCACTCATTGTTTGTGGAAGCCCTAATGATTAACAATCACTAAGGAAGAATTGAAGGTAAGTTTCAATTCATAATCGATTAATAAGAGTTCTAATCATCCACTGCTTCGCTAAAATGAACCTAATAGATCGCACACCATAAATGAATTGATTGAACAATAGAACACAGTTGAGTAGGACAATTATAGGATAATTAATATGTTAATTATCAAATGAATAATTTCGTTTTAGACCTTAAGTTTGTGTTGGGCCTCAAAGTGCAATGGGTGTTGATTATTCAAGCCCATTAACTTAAGTTGTATGATAACTTAAAATACATCAGACCTCAAGGCCCAATGGGCTTCAAATTGTCAAGCCGATTAACTTAAGTTGTATGACAACTTCAAAACACATTAGGCCTCACAGCCCCACCGGCTTCAAATTGTCAAGCCCGTTAATTTAAGTTCTATGACAACTTAACAAATAAAACTTAAGAAGCCTAAAAAAGCCCAAAGGATTTAGAGGAGGTCGGCCATACAAAGAAGGAAGGAGTTTTTTGTGCCACTTGCATGCAAGTGGCTATAAAAAGATCTTCTCACATTTTCCTTCACTAAGGGGTTTCCTGGAGGAAAGAAAATTGAACAAAAATCTCTCTCTTCTCACTCTAGGAGGCAAGCAAAGTGGGAGGAGTGGCTAGCATTCTTCTTTTCCTAGTCACTCATCTTATTCTTGATTCAAGAAGAACTACAAAGGTTTGATACTTGTGCTTTGCACAAGCTATGTAGGCAATTTATTTGGACTAGATGCAACCTAATCCTACAAAGTGATAGAATTCAATCAAGAGAGGATGATGCCCCTCACTTTGAGTGATTAACATTTGCCTTGGCAAAGGGGAACTTCAAAGGTTAAGGAAGTCTCTACCCTCTTTGTAATGTGAGTTGAGTCATTGGTTCACCAAACTACTATGCTTTGAAATTCTTGGTCTAGGTTTTGTGAGTGCATACAAGCATGCTTTGGCCTTTTCATTGTTAAATACATGCATATATGTTACTCTATAAACTTAGCATATTCAAAAGTTTTCCTTTAGGAGGACCATGGAAATGAAGGCATTAACGTATGGTAGTGGTCGTGGGTCAGAGTCATGGCTTTCAGTGATGAGAAAGTGATGTATGAAGACACCAAAAAAGGTGAAGTCTTATGGGTTTTGGGATGGGAGCTAAACTAGAGGATCAAGGTTTTGTTGTTCTCCAGGTCTAATCACAATCTTGTCATAAATTATTTGTTAGAATTTGGCACATCAAGCAAGACAATCATTGAATTAGAGTCTTTTATGTATGTTGTATGGCACCGAAACATATCCAAAGGTAGCTCGGTGGGGGTTTGATTGGAGGGGAGAGAGTGGAAATAGTGGAAATAGATTGGAGAAAAAAGGGAGGAGTTGAAATAATGGAAATTGGAGGGGCTGTGGGTAGCATTTGAGGAGAAGGACAAAGTGATGGCAAAGTAAGAGAAAGTGACTGGTAGAGAAGTGAAGAAAAAACCCAGACCCGAGGGAAACTCGGACATGCAAGTAGGCCCGAGCCACTTCCGTTGACGTAAAAGAGCTCAAATCTGCAACCTTCCTCGATGGTAGTAGCACTATTCGCCATTATTCCACGGAGGACCATGATTGGATTCAACAGGTCGGTTTGTCAATCTCCTCGATGAAGCACCTGACGTCAATCCACTGCAATTCCTAATTTTCTCATCAACTCCACTTTGTCCTTTCCCTTCTTATTGTTCCTTGAATTTCTGGTTGCTAGAAATGGGTATTTAGGTTTTTTTATTTTAATTTTGAAAAAAAAAAAACTAATATTTTAATTATTTATATGTTCACAGGGGGCGCACAGTTCCATGTTTCTGCACAGTCATCTTCTAGTGGTGTGCCACACCATCAATTAATCGAACCCCTAATAGACAGGCTAACAGAAGTTTGAAAGTGTTACAAATTTAGGTATGAAAGTGGGATGAATAGAACTTTAGGTGTAAAAGTTGGAATTTCACGATATATGAGAGTAGTAATGTGAGAATTACTCCAATAAAATAATATCTAAGAATTATCTATGGAGAATACTCTGTTGGATGTGATTGTGCTTTCTTGAATAAAGGAATATGTCTTCAATGAGGAAAGCTTAAAGGTAAGAATTAGTTATTAATACTACCCTTAATTCCCTTGCCCTTTCTCCCTTTCATAGGCAACGGAGCTTGGAGGAATTGTAATCAGTAGCTCAGGTCTTCTTAGTGGTTGAACTGCGCATGAATGGATATGTGCCTTGCCAATTTAATAAAGGGCTTTCTCGTCAATTGTGAATAAAAATCCACATATCAGCTCCAAAATTTTCTGAATTATTTTTTGCTCCACAAATAGTAAGACTAATATGTCATCTTTTGTATTAACTAATTTAGTATTCCCGCGACCCATTTCTACACCCACTCCTATTTTCTTTTCTATTTTATTTTTGTAATTTCTCTGTTATTAAACTTCCATGCATACCATGATTAAAAGTGGCTAGTTTCCTAACTACAAAATATTATTTTAATATTCGTGCATGAAAGAATGCAAATTTTACATCATATAAATTTTTATTATAACTATTAATCAAATTTATGCACAAATTTAGTGTATAATATTATTCGTGATATTTCACCAAATTTACCTATTTTTCAGGGTAGCATGAAGTTATGTTTAATGGAGTGCTGCTCTCCTAAGGTCCTCATTTTGAGGACTTGTGAGGACCAAAAACATACTAGCTACAAAATTATATTAGCCTATATCTAAAGGCTTAAAATATTTAACAATTTAATAAAGTAAAATAAGAAAACGAGTTTTCTAATGATTCATATATTTTAAATTGATTTTACTTTATTAAATATCAAATATTTTAAACTTTTAAATTTAAATTAATATAATCTTGTGACTAAGATGAATTTCAACCTCATGCCTTCAAATTGAGAATCTTAAGACAGCGTGACTGATATTGGATTAACACATTTAAGGTGCTTTCTCAGCAGTGCCACATGTCGTAGTATATTTCCAACATTTGGCCTGATGCGACACGCAAACCCTCTCTTTGGTTGACATCTGTTCACTAACGATCCCTACCGCCACAGAATTTATTTCGATCTCCTCTTCAGTTCATCCCAAGAACCAAAGAATTTCAATACGTTTTTGTTCCCAAAGCCAACTAAAAAACAACAAAAACCAGAGAAAAGAATGACGCAGAGCAAAGTGTTGGTAGGGTTAGGAGTCCAGAAGAAAACAACCGTTAAGCGTAATAAGAGGAAGAAAATGATCAACAAAGTGATACACTATCTTACTTCTGACACTTACATGTTTGCGCCTCTAATCTCCCACCCACCTCACGCCTTTCGCTCCCCCATAAAGACACCGACTTCTTCTTCTTCTTCTTCTTCTACTTCAGGTCTATATTTTTCTTTTAATGGCGTTTGTAGTATAGGTAGAGTACTTCTGTTAGTGGGTTTGTGAAGATTAGACTGAATCAGTGGTATTTATGTCCTCAGGATTGCAAGCAAGGCAACCCATCGAAGGAAACAGCAAGAGGTTGCTCAACAATGTTGGGGACTATCTCAAGTCTGACTCTTACATGTATGCTCCCCTGCTTGTTCCGCCACCACAAACCATTACTAGTACTACGAGCCCTCCAAAAGGTATATTTTTGGTGTCATACTTGCTCCTACCTAACTTTTGTTGGTGCTCTCCCTCTTTCTGGGGGGAACCTTAAGTTTTCATGGGTTGTCATAATATTAACTGTGTTAGGGCATATACGTTTTAATTGATTTTGATTACATCAAGGAGTAGTGGAATTTTGAGTCACTGAACAATATGTATTATGTCGCCAGAAGTTTTTAGTGTTGGACATTTGGACTCTGCTTATCATGCAAAATTCCATTGATGTAAACGATAATTCTCAGCTGCATACCAATTATAAACTAGCTGTGATCACTTTAGCACTAAAATTCAAATTATATTACAACATTTAAAGTCAATTAAACAATTGAGCGGGACAGTAGATCTGCAAATTCCTGTCTTATTTGGGTACATGCAATTACGGTTATAATTGTATAATTTGTGGCGAACCCTTACCGGTGTAGAACAGAGGCCAATAGAAATGTACAAAACAGAAACTACCCCTGCGTAATCTAGTAACCGATCCTACAATCCAACTTCAAGTCATGAATTGTAATTGATTTGTCTTTCGGAAAATATGAATGGGCGTTACATATATGCAATTCGGTGGTTCTAGGAATATGCACATCTATTTGAGATGCAATGTACCTATACAGTTATCAAAGTGTGGATGGGTACATCACGTTAATTGATATTGTGAATTAGGATGTGTTTTGGTGAGGGGTTTTCAAGTCCCGGGGAATTGAGGTTAAGTTTGTAACAGACGAAGATTAGAAATGCACCATATGAGCATTACAAGGGGATTTTCAAATCCATAGATGGAATGAATCATTTACAAATCTCTCTTACATGCATGCTTTTGTAATGCTTATATGGTGCATTTCTAACATTTTTTTATCCATATTATGTGAGACTTTGATTAACTCGTAAGTTGTAACCTTGTAGTACTCATGTTAGTGTCATGATATTAATTCTATCTATTGGATGAGTGGTTGTAGCCATAAGATTTCATTGTAAAGTTTGGTGACATATCTTACCACCATGTTGTGAATAAAGTGAAAACTCGGACCTATTTGATAACCATTTTTGAAACCCAAAAACTTATAACTTGTTTGAAAACTCCTAATTTTTTGAAATTAGTACTTACCAAACAAGTTTTTAGTTTCCAAAAGAAATAAAAACAAAAATGAAATGGTTATAAAACAACTCTTAATCACCAACTCCTTAGGCATAGTTTAAACTCCAGTACACATGGATGGGATCTTGTCACTATTATATATATGTGTCTTTGCATGTGTGTTACAGCTGTTTAATTAACAGTATAAAAAATTGCTAGCAATCTCAATCTCTCGCTTTTATTATTGAATTTTGAAATTGAATTTTGAAAATGAAATGGAAAAGAACACCTTTTGCAAGACATGTGCATGTGTGTGTAACTGAATTTAAAAATGCATGAAACTTTGAAGGACATGTGCATATGTGTGTGACTGAGTTTAAAAATGGATGAAACCTTTGAAGGAATTTATTTTTTATTGCTCTAATTAGCTGAATCTTGGGTAATTATTTAGGCCTTTTCTTTGTGCTGTAATATGCACTCGGGAACCATCTACTTGAATAAGTCATATTTTTGGAGTTTTGAAATTCCCAACTATTCTGCATTGCATGATTTTATTAAAAAACACAGGTGATTAGGTTTCTTAGATGCATTCATCGCAAGAGAACAGATACAACTTCCCTACATGGTAGTTGTGTTTTATTTTAGTTTTGGAGTAATCTTTGAAAACAAACTGATTCAGGCACCAGAGAAATGCTATTAAACAAGAATTCAGTTTAATTAGTTGCAGATAACACATACCAAGTAATTAACAAAGATAACACATTCAAATGTGCATTGTTGCGGAGTTGATTTTGTGGAATTCATCGGTCAATGTATGTTTTCAATATGGCATTCTATTATGTTCTTTCCACCTTTGCTCATTTAGTTTTGTAGGCATTATTGGTTTCCCTGTGTTATTATTAAGAATATATTGTAATTAATGTGTAATATAGTTTCCAAAAAAAAAAAAATGTATAATATTGTATTTCTAAACTAGGAAAGGCTATTCTATGTATTGTGTGGATCATGGCTTTCTATTATGTTCTTTCCACCTTTGCTCATTTAGTTTTGTAGGCATTATTGGTTTCCCTGTGTTATTATTAAGAATATATTGTAATTAATGTATAATATAGTTTCCAAAAAAAAAAAATGTATAATATTGTATTTCTAAACTAGGAAAGGCTATTCTATGTATTGTGTGGATCATGGCTTTATAGGATTAGAATCAGGATTTGACTTTACCACTTGTATTTGTATATATATGGGCTACATAGCCTCTGTTCAATATACAGAAAAACATTCAGCCATATTATCATTCATATATTCTTCCATATATCAATCCCAGGAACTACCTAGCTCTTTCTTATTTGTTATTGATTTTGTAACTCGTAATTATTGTCATGTTGACTAAATTTCATTTCTAACCTCCATCGGTAGTTGATCTTTTATATCTTAGACTTCTATTACTTCTGAATTGCAGGGTCGTCTGAGTACCTTGAGAGGGTTGTAACCATGGCAGTTTCGAAGAAGAAATTAATTTTCATAGACAACAAATCAAATGAGCCAAATGATCAGCCGTGTGCAAAGGCAATAGCACGGAATGATGCCTCCAAGGGCCACCGTCCTAAAAAAGTCATTTCAGAGAAGCAGTCTGTAGTGCACAAGGAAACAGTAAAGCACGTGGTTCCCAATAGTTGTCGCTCATCGTTGATGTCAGGTCACCTTTTTTAGCGCATGATACTTTGATATTTAGTTATTTACATATACACGCAGTTGTAGTTGCATGCATTTCCTTTATACTTCCATTCACAGCTTAACCCTACTGCAATCGATTTGCAAGGAGCTAGCGTACGGGTTACCTGTATTTGACGTGCATGTCTGTTTGTTTCTTTGTGCCAGGGGTCATGTATATATATCTGGCATTCTTGTAGTTCGTACATGGATCTCTTGATCATAGCAAACTGTTGGAAACAATGAATAATACCAATAAACATGTGATCTTATTGTTCGATTGTGTGATTTTTGTAATGTGATTCAATGGATATAAGAAAGATTTCTGGAAGAGGGATTGAATAATTTCAGAGAGCTTCAGAGTAATGGAAGCCTCACACTCATTCTCATTGAAATTGCTCTCTCTCTCTCTCTCTCTCTCTCTCTCTCTTACATAGCAAAACGAATATTACCGTTTTACTAAGGAGGAAATATTGCCCTTCTTTCTCCTCTAATAGAATGAAAACAATCTCAGCCATTCATATTATTTATCCCCTGAGATAGTTACATGTGTCACTCAACACCACCTACTTTAACTTAATCTAGAGCATCAATTTGGAATGTAATTCCAGGGCTCTGATTAAAACAAGTAAAATATAAATTTATTTCAGCTAAAATCACTTAAATGCTAACACTCCCTTCTAAGTGTTTAGCTGAAATCACTCCCAAAGCTTTCCTAAAGTACTCAAATCAATCCCTTGCCAATGCTTTTGTAAATATATCAGCAACTTGTTCCTCAGTTCTGCAATAGATCAGGTCAACTTCACCATTCTATAGTGCATCTCTGATGAAATGGAACCTTCTGTTTATGTGCCTTGTCTTGTGGTGTGCTACTGGATTCTTTGAAATTGCAATGGCAGAGGTGTTGTCACATAGAATCTGAGTAGGCTCCACTTGTTCCTCTACAAAATCTGATAGAACAAACCTTAACCAGATGGCTTGAGCAGTTGCTTGTGCAGCACTGACATACTCAGCCTTTGCAGTGGATAGTGCTACACTGCTTTGTTTGATTGAAGCCCAGGAAAATACTCCAGAACCAAAACTAAAAGCATATCCAAAAGTGCTTTTCATGTTATCATCACTCCTTGCCCAGTCACTATCATAATAGTCAATAAACACAACATCTTTGCCTTTCTCATATGCAATCCCATAGTCCAGTGATCCTTGAATATATCTCAGTACCCTCTTTGCAATTCCCATGTGTTTCCTAGTTGGATTGTGCATGAATCGAGCTAGCAAACTTGCAATAAACATGATATCAGGTCTTGTAACTGTTAGGTATAACAAGCTACCAACCATTTGCTTATAAAGACTTTCATCAACCATTTCACTCCCATCTTTTTTGCTAAGTTTTTCATTTGCTGCAAGTGGTGTTGCACCAGGTTTGCAATCCTTCAATCCAAACTTCTCCAATAAGGTCTTTGCATATTTATTTTGATGTAGAAAAATGCATCCTTCTGTTTGAATCACTCCAAGCCCCAAGAAATGATGCAATAGACCAAGATCAGACATTTCATATTTTCTCATCATAGCTGCTTTAAAATCATCCATCAATGGACTTGAACTTCTAGTATATATAATGTCATCCACATCCAAGGATACAATGAGAATTCTTCCCTCAGTTGCCTTGATGTAAAGAGTTGCCTCACTTGGACTTCTATGAAAACCAGAATTGCAGAAATAAGAGTCAATCTCTTTGTACCAGGCCCTTGGTGCCTGTTTTAAACCATACAAGGCCTTCTTGAGCTTGTAAACCCTGTCCTCATTGCCTTCAATTACAAAACCAAGTGGCTGGTCTACATATACTTCTTCAGTAAGAACCTCATTCAAGAATGCAGATTTCACATCAAGTTGGAACAACTTCCATCTTTTCTGTGCAGTAAGCCCAATTAAAGTCCTAATAGTGTCAAGTCTTGCCACAGAGGCAAATGTCTCATTGAAATTGACCCCAGGCTTTTGAGAGTATCCCTTAATAACTAACCTTGCCTTATTCTTCTATATAGACCTATATGGGTTCAATTTTATTTTGTAGATCCACTTGACACTAACTATTGGTTTATCAAATGGTCTATCAACAAGTTCCCAAGTGCAGTTCTTCTCTATCATACCAATTTCGGCCTCCATTGCCTTCTGCCATAACTCATCTTGTGTTGCCTCTTTAAAGTTCTCAGGCTCCACAATGCATAAGTTGCATTTTGCATATACTTCTATCAAGCTTTTAAACTTAAAGGGAGTGTGATCATATTCTTGGGGACCTATGTTGTTCTACATTGGTATCAGCCTTGAGCTATTTTCAATTAATTCATAGGTTTCAGATGATGATATCAAGGACTCATCATTTACAACACCTTTGTCACTTGAACTCCCTTCTTCCCTTTGCTCACACATTCTCCCTTCAGGCATTGGTACATTGATGGTCTTCTCAGATTGAGATTTCCAATCCCAGCAAGCATTTTCATCAACTATTACATCCCTTGACACAATTATCTTCTTTGAGACAAGGTCATAAAGTCTATAACCTTTTTCACATGTGCCATATCCCAAGAAAATGCATTTAGTACTGGTTTCATCTAGCTTTTGTCTAAGTTGATTTGGAATGTGAGCACAACATATAAAACCGAAGATCTTTAAGTGTTTGATTCTTGGCTTCCTCCCACTATATGCCTCAAAGGGGGTCTTCTTATCAAGGGACTTAGTGGAACATCTATTCAAGATGTACATTATTGTATTAACAGCTTCTACCCAGAAATCAAATGGAACACCTTTCTCAATCATCATACACTTTTCCATTTCCACTACGGTTCTATTCTTCCTCTCAGCTACACCATTTTCCTGAGGTGTGTATGCCACTGTTAGTTGCCTTTCCATGCCCATTTCTTCACAGAATTCTCTAAACTCAACAGATGTATACTCTCCTCCTCTGTCACTCCTCAATTTCTTCAATCGGTAACCACTTTGTAATTCAACCGTGGACTTAAATTTCTTGAATATACCAAACACCTCTGACTTGTTTCTTAAGAAGTAGACCTAACATATTCGAGTTGTGCAGTCATCTATAAAGGTAAGAAAATACCTATTCCCAGCCTTTGTAGGAGTTTGCATAGGTCCACATATGTTAGAGTGTATAAGTTCTAGAGGTAAAGAAGCCCTCCATGATGCTTCATTTAGAAATGCATCTATGCAATGATTCCCAAGAGTACATCTTTCACATATCTCATCTGTCATTTTGAGATTAGGCAATCCCAACACCATATCATGTTCTTTGTGTTGCTTCAGACTGCATAAATTCAAATGTCATTGTCTCCTATGCCAGATTGTAGAAGACTGACACACATTAGCCTTTAGAGCAATTTGCATCTCAAGTTGAAGTTTCAAGGGAAGACTCATGTTTCCTTTCATTGGTATTTTAGCTACCAAATTTGACAAAGAACTATCATCATATATTTCTGCCGTTGTACCACCAAATACAAGAAAGTAACCGTGTTCCATCATCTGCCTTACATTGAGCAAGTTTTCTTTTAAACCTGGAACTAACATCACTTCCTTGATATATCTTCTCCCCATTTTGGTCTCAACTACCAAATTTCCCTTGCCAATGACTTCAATAAGCTGACCAGTGCCTATTTCAACCTTAGTAGTCATTGTTCTATCAATGTCAACCAACAAATCCTCCCTTCTAGTCATATGGTTACTACATCCACTATCTACATACCATGTGTCTTCACATTTCTTCACTGTGGCATTATTGCAGACATAAAACATTGTAGGAGTGTCATTGACTTGATTAACAAAGTTACATGTTGGTTAGCCTTCTCCTTCTTCTCACGATAATATTTTGCAATATGCCCCAACTTATGGCAATTATGGCACCTAGGCTTATCCTTGAACCAACATTCACCAAAATGCAGCTTATCACAGTGTATACAAGGATTCTTGGCTCCTTCAGAGGCACATGCAGCTTTTCTAGCTTGATTTGCAGGTCTATTATCCCATTTCTTCCACTTTGACTTCCAATTCTTCTGTGGTTTGAACCCTTGATTTCCATTGTACTTATTTTGTTTTGGAGCAATATTTAGACTAACAAATGCCTTCTCAGTGTGAATCTCATCATGCCTATCAATTCTTTGTTCATTCCCCTTTAGAATAGGAACAACATCTTGGACATCAACAGTGTCTAGATCCTTAGTATTTTCAATCACAGAAGCAATACTATCATATGATCTAGGTAAGCTTATCAGCAACTTTTGAACAATTCTCTGATTGCTAATTTCTTCACCATAACTCCTCATTTGACTAAGCAAATCAAATAGCCTAACTAGATATGCAGAGAAAGCTTCATTTTCACCCATTCTAGTATATTCAAATTCACGGCGTAAGCCTTGGAGCTTCACAGCTCTTACCTGTTTATCTCCTACAAATTCTTGGTTCATGACATTCCAAGCTGCGCGTGCAGTCTCTTGGATGGCGATTCTCGGAAAGATTTGATCAGAAACCGCCCCTTAGATGATTCCAAGTGCCTTTGCATCTTTGCCTATGTTCTCCCTCACTAGCTTACTCTCAACTTCAGTGAGTTCTTCATCCTTCTTCACCAGAGAAGGGAAACCCTTCTGGACAACATCCCAAAGTTCATGAGATCAAAATATGGTCTTCATCTGAATCTGCCAGAAATCGAAGTTGTCTCCATTGAATACCGGTGCTCGAAGATCAGCACCAATTGACCCAGCCATATGAGACTCGATTCAAGATCACTGAGATATCTTCTCTAAATTTTCGTTCAGCAACAAAGTTCGACGATCAATTCGAGTTCTTCGCTGCGCTCTTCACAGATTCACGCCCAGTTGCAGATGATGTAATCTGGGTCTGAGGCCATGTTCGATTGTGTGATTTTTGTACTGTGATTCAATGGATATAAGAAAGATTTTTGGAAGAGGGATTGAATAATTTAAGAGAGGTTCAGATTAAGGGAAGCCTCACGCTCATTCTCATTGAAATTGCTCTCTCTCTCTTACAAAGCAAAACGAATATTACCGTTTCACTGAGGAGGGAATATTGCCCTTCTCTTTCCTCTAACAAAATGAAAACAATCTCAGCCATTCATGTTATCTATCCTATGAGATAGTTACATGTGTCACTCAACACCACGTACTTTAACTTAATCTAGAGCATCCATTTGGAATGTAATCCAAGGGCTCTAATTAAAACAAGTAAAATATAAACTTATTTCAGCTAAAATCACTTAAATGCTAACACTATCCCACACGGAGCAGTGTGGACATGGTTGCTGAGTCTTTCTATACTTTGTACTTATTAGGTTGATTAGTTTTATTTTAGGAATATTACTGTTCGTTGAATATTTTACGGTTTGTTATATCTGCATAGTTTGAGCAGCCCAGAATCATTATTATTTACTTTCATTACATTGACGACGTATTTTCTTTGAGGTTTTGGTTTTGTATTGTGATGTAGAGAAGAATTATTGGCTCGTACATTAGGAAGCTTGTCGACTGAAAAGGACGAGGCGTCCCTGACTAGTTACAGGAACAGGAATGTACAATCGTAATCGACATATGTTGTGCCTTTTATTAAACACTATTATGTTTTCTTGTGAATGTTGGAATGAGATATAAGCCTTGGTAGGGTCTTCGCTTTCCCAAGGATAATCCTGTGTGCAGTCTCCTTTTTTCAATGGGGTACACTTTTCTTATCAAAAGCGCGAATTTGGGACAATGTTTAAGACATTGGTTTTGTGTATTTTCCTTTTCAGAAATTGTAAATTGACAAAAATGCCTTTGTTGATCTCAGTAGAAGTTCTATGTGGACATTTGAGCTCAATTTATATTCTCTCTTTTCCATTGAGAGTTAAACGCAGATTTTACAAAGAGATGGAATGTGAGGGACAAAACGGTAGTTTTCTGCACGGGCCGATTTTGGAAAATTACTGTTTCCTATTTAGAAAGATAGCTCCTTTTTTTTTTTTGTCGGGTTGTATTTCTATTTAAAGAAATTTTCCTTTCAGAAAAGGGTAGTGCTATCCTTAAAGCCTTTACTTCTTACATACCCTTATCAATCTTCGTGATTCAAATCCAAAATTGAAGAACACACAAACCTAGTTGGGTTCAACTTTCCCGACGAGCTTCTTGACGATCACAACAACAACTATCCTCTGGAATGACACTAGTCAACTCTCCGCTGCTCCAGGTAGGCCTGGTAATTCCTGACACGACCCAATAACCAGACAAGACACGACACGAAATTAACAGGTATTCGGGTTGACACGATAATGAATCGGGTCGTTATTGGGTAACCCGATAAGCACCTGTTAAGATAACGGGTTGGTTCAGGTATACACGTGGGTAACACGATACATGATAAACAAAATATTAATTTAATAATTTTATAACCCTAAAAAAATACTATAATAATTATATATATATATATATATTAATTTAACAATTTTTGTCACAGCCCGTCCCAAAATAAATTATCGATGATGTGAATTGACTATTATACCCTTGGACGTGAGTGTTGTGGTGTGTGTTATGCATGTTAGGGGTGGTTCAAACTTGCATTTTCCTTAATTTTTTGACAAAAATTGGACTAAGTTTATGTGGTTTTGGTTGGTGACCCACGTGGACCACTCACACACACACATACCCTTCTCCTCTCTTCTCTCCCGTGCTCTCTCATCTCTCAGATTCACTCTCTCTCCTTCCCTCACGTACAGACGAACAACAAAACGCATGGAATGTTGCAGATAGATGGTTTAAAGGACACCATCGTGTTCCTGAGGTTCATACGAGTTGAATGGTACCATTTTTAGGTAAGGACTCCTTCGAAAACCCTAGTTTCTCTCATGCTCTAATTTGGGTACTATTCATGCACACGTAAAATCTTATGTTTTTGGGGATTTCAAGCTTATAGGTAGCTTAAGGAGGTCCTCACGAGGCTAGGAGTGGTTCGTTGGAAGATTTTGGATGTTGGAATAGCGAGAACGACGAGTTTTAAGTTTGGTCAGATTACCAGGTGAGTTACGTTTGGTTATGAGAATTATTGATTGATGGCATTTGATTGAATAGCGTTGAGCTCATTAAACTGCACCTAGGGTGATTGTTATTTAACCAGAGATATGGCATATGCCTGTATATCAATGTCATATCCCGCACCATATGCTCACATTGGATCCAATTTAGGTGCACAGTCCTGTTATACAGACCATCATAGGTGGTTCCGACTCGTAGGTGACTAGCAATTTATTGCCCAGCTATTATGAGAGAGTAGTATTGAGCATAATTATATTACACCTAGTCTTGTCGTACATACCTTTTCATTGGTTTCGACTGGTGTGCAGTATAGTGCCGTATAGGTCATTGTAGTGACTCTGGCTAGATTGATTATTGAGCTATGAATTCAACTGGACAGACTTATGCAGGAGTTTCGGCTAATACGTTATATTTACATGAAATTATTCTCACCTGAATTACTTACTCTGTTATATCTTGGCATGACATACTTATTGTTATGAATATGTGAAGCATGATTTGAATTGATATACATATATATATATATATATATTTACGCATATGCTTGTATTCTATTTATGGGAAAAGTTATATATGTTTTACGGCGAGGGGTTAGAAATATTGAAAAATGAAATGATTTTGTAAAACATTTATTTTTGCCCACTCACGTTTTCTGTTTTGCGCCCCTCCAGGTTTTAGGTAAGCTTGTTGTGGCTGGGTACGAGGATTTCGGCTGTTTTGACATATCTATATAATTGTAGGACATCTTATGGTATTGTATAATTAGTACTTGTCCTAAGGGACTGCACCTAGACTTTCCATGCTCTGAGTAGGAGTATTTACACTTGTATCTCACTCTTAGCACTTACTGATTATTAGTGCACTTTAGTAGCTTTCATTTTTTATTTATTCATAACTCGTATCTTTATCGCTTCCGCACTGTGCACATGGTTACATCACCCTCACGTGACGGCCAGCATGCCTTGATCTCGGTCCGGGTGTGTCAGTTTGGTATCAGAGCCTAGGTTTAGCAGTCCTGTATAGTTCATGAATATTCTAATCCTTGTGATGCCTTCTCTTAGAACTATGCCGCCTCGTAGAGAGCTTCGTCACTTAGCTGAGCCTAGTTTCCCTGATATTGCTCAATTAGGGGAAGCTATAGCTAATGCCATTCAGACTTCGCTCTATCATCCTCAAAGGACACCTCTTAAGACTGTGTATAACTTGAAGCTAAATCACTTCATAGGTAATGAGGGACATGAGGGAACGGAGAAGTGGTTTAATCAGATTGAGAAGACTTTTCTTGTGATGCAGAGTCAGGGGAACCTTCCTCCTGATAGGTGGGTCGAGACAACTACCTGGTTTTTAGAAGAGTAGCCTACATCCTGGTGGACACAGGAGTCTTACCAATTGACCCCAGCGGAGATTGCGGACTGAGGAGTATTTAAAGAGTTGTTTTGGAAAAGGTTCATTCCTCCTGAGTACATTAATCGTAAGAAACAAGAGTTTACCCATTTGAAGCCAGGAAATATGTCAGCAAATGAGTATTACAGGAGGTTCACTGATTTGTCACGTTATGATCCGGAGGTTGCTGCTACTCCAGTTGAGATGCTCCGTCGTTTCAGGTTGGGTACTAAGAAGAAATGGCATTCTATAGCGACATTAACTCCCTGTTTCACTTACCAGAAGTTTTATGAGGTTTTACTGCGGATTGAGGACTCAGAGAACATGCCCAATGAAAGTGAGGATAAGGAAGAAAAAAATGTGAACCAGAGGCGAGATGATAAAGGAAAAGGTCAAGCATCTCAAGGACCTTGTAAGACCGAGAGTTTTAAGAGAAGTGGTGGCAGTTCCAGCTCTTCTAGCGGAGGTTTGAGCTCTAACATGTAGAGAGACTTTGGTGGTTCAGGTGGTTCCGGTGCTCCTTTATGCCGCAGGTGTAATTATAGGCATTTTAGGGTGTAGGAGAGGCAGCGATGGATGCTACACTTGTGGACAGATAGGGCATAGAGCAGCTCAGTCCTCAGAGTCAGCAGAGGCCCTAACAGCCTTCCTTACCACCACCTGCGCCAACACAGCAAACTTCAGGATCTAGTGGTTATGCTCAGACTGGTCGTGGATGTGCTTATCCTTACACTTCAGGACAGTATCACTACTCTCAGGATCCTCAGTATCAGAGTGGTTATTCTCAGTATCATGGAGGTTCTATGCCTTATCATCAACATTCAGCCAGTGGATCACAATGGTACCAAGGGGGACAGCCCCAACAGGTAGATATTGCTACCAGCAGTGCAGGATGCTTGAGGCAGTCTGGTCAGCCAAGGCAAGGA